CCCGGCCGCACTCTGTGGTGGCGGGTGGGGGCTTTGCAGCCACTTTGGGGCCGAGTGGGTGAAAAAAGCGGGGTTTCTGTGGCATAAATAAATCATCCCGGAGCCGTGTTGGCGTTTGGGGCTTTCCCGGTGTTGCAGGGAAGGGGTTTGGGCTTTTAAAATCCCGTGCGTTGTCATGTCAGGAAAGTGGAGAGGGAAAGAGGAGCTCGGTCAGGTGGGAAAATCATCTTGTGGGGGTGGTGTGTCTGGTTACATCCCATAGGAAAGGTGCAGCAGCTTTTCCCTGGTCTTTAAAAGTAAATGCAAGCTTTACACAGGAGTTTTTTCCAAAATCTGTAAGGGATCAAGTGGGGGAAACCGATACTGAGCCTTGAGCAGCTCAACTAGAAAAATGAACCTGTTGGGATGTAAAAACCTACATACTTAGAAACGGCCAAAGCCACTCACGGTAAGAAAATAATGGTTTTCAGAGGGGAAATCAGGGAATCATAATGACATATGAGTTGGTGTTTGTGACTGTAGGAAAACTGTAAAGAAAGGGTCAACGCAAGATGTGTAGGGAGGTAGGAGAATGATTTTTACATCCAGGTGTGGCATTGGCAAGGCTGGTACTCTCCATCTAGGTCTGGTATCCACTTTTGCTTCCTTATAATTAAAAAAACAGTATTGGAAAATGGTAGAAGATGTAGAAAAGTCACAAAGTGATCTGAGGTCTGGAAGCAGAGCCTCACAGTCAGGAATTGGAGCTGGACTTGATTAGAACACCGTAAAGATTTTGTTATGCTGTGCGGGGTCTTTGAAAGACCTGTTCCAAGGGATGTTGCTGCAGCAGTTTAAGGTGTTACGGTCACTGATCATCACGTAGGAAGGTCAATAAATGCATGAGTGCACCTGTGTCCCGGCTGGGCCGGTGCCAGGCCTGACACTGCAGCCAGGATCGCTGCAGAAGGTGGGTTTGGGGCAGGCACGACACCAGGCTGAGGCTGAGTGCCCACCATGGATTCTGGCCTCTGCTTTCTGCCACGTAGCTGGTACCTTCCGCTTGAGCAAGTTTAAGCTTTAACAACTTAAAATAGCTTAGCAAACCTGAGTGGGTGACTGATCGGGCTGGGGGAGGAAAAATTTAAAAAGAAGTTACTTTTCAGCTGGGTAAGTTCCTTCAGCAACACCACTGTGCAGCTGTAAAACAGCTGGGCCAGTGCAGTGCACAAGCAGGTGGTGAGGACTGAGGGGACACAGGAGTTCCTAGGCCAACTTCTTTGTCCTTGCAGGAAGAAAAGTGACAGTACTGGAGCAGCTCCTTAGCAAAGGCACAGCGGGACTCAGCAGGTAGAAGCCAAGGACAGCGAAATTCAAATCAGACACAAGAGATGCCCTTTAGAAAAGAGAAACAGCAGCTCCACAGTCCAGGGGCTGGTCAGGCAGCCTGCCAGGCCCTGTATCCCTGCCTCCCACTGCCGCTGCATACCTGCTCTGGCCAGATCAGACAGCTTTGCTGTTGGTCTGGTCAGAGAACTCATCCAGGCTCCTTTTTATGTTTTCCTGATTATTTTTAACCTGGGCAGTTCCCCAGTCTGGTTCCCAGCCTAGGTCACAAGGTTTTCCTGCACCACCAAGGAACCGTGCTCTGTGTCACAGGAGTGACTTCAAGGGGCAGAAACTGCAGAAATGCTGTATCATTGAACCGTGCTTTGAGAAGGATTAAACAGTGGGACAAACTGTCAAAGCAGGTGGCGGACTCTATCCTAGGGACTTTCTGTGAAGCCTGAGAGCTTTTTTGTACTATGTACCAACGCAGACATACTTCATTGTTTTCTGTACAATGACAAGTGGCTGGAATCTCATACATAGCATATGATCCATCAGCTTATATGAGCTCTTCTAGCTTGAATTTGCACAAAACCTGATGACTGTAGTAATGAAATATGTCACATAAGTTGGCAGCCAGTGGGAATCCAGCTCTCAGGTGGGTTGTCTTTTTTTCCAGCTCTGTGTTCACCCCGCCAGCCTCTTAACCTCTGTAGAACTGAAGCAGAAGATTCATCTGGTGATGAGGGTTTTCTGTAAGCAACTTAGCTGAGATTTCTGGAGCTGCATAGGCTAGACATATTTTTCAAGTACTAGTACAAAACTTTTTAAGATAACTAGGTTTCCCAGTGCTGGTACCAATGCCGTGACATAAAAGATGTTCTCTGAGCAAATGTAGATGAAGTGTTTCCACACAGCGGTGACTGTTTCTGGTAGCTCGAGTTACAATGAACAGGGAGCACATTGGAAATGTTCTTGTTACTAAGAAAACTGATTGAGGTTTTTTTTAAATGTAAATATCTAGATCATGCAAAAAGTCTTCTAGCCAAGCATGAATTTTGTTGTTAAGCTTCCATGGCTACTGTGTTTCAGTGATACTGTGCAAGACCCTCATCTTGTTTTTTCTTTCTTATTCCGCAGCTGTCAGAGTGTCCTAGGACATACATTTAGATTTAGACACAGACCCAAACAGGTAGATAGGTTTTTCTTGCTAGACCTTTACAATTTTAAAGGAAAGTTGGTGAAATTTTACAATAATCAATTACAGACATTACTATATCTTAACTCATTTGTATTTGGGTTTCTGCTCTGAAGGCTATAGGTTATGTGCCTTACTGTTAAAGACAGCAGAATTCAAGCTCTGTCTTCTTTCAGGTAGCTTTGAAACTGGCACAGATGGCTGAGCTTGTTCAGAGGGAAAGAAGCAACTACTTGGCGAAAGTGACAGTCTCCCAGAACGCGTGCACAGCTCTGAAGCAGGAGGTAGAGAACACTTACCTTTTCCTGCACACATCTCATACAGAGGTGAAATATTCACAGTCTTAGACACCTACAAAGGAAGACTGCTCTGAAATGCAGGACTCCTGCACCCTGAGGGGTAGGAGCAGCCATCACATCACACTGGGTTGTACCAAAGTGGCACCTCAGCAATTCTAGTCCTTTATTGTTCTGCTCTGCCCGAGTAGATTCAGCCTGCACAAAACTGAATTCTGTTCTTAACGGACATTTCCAAACCTCAGAGTGACACGTTTTCTTGGAGTCACCCCATTTCCCAGTGTTTTCCATCCTGAGGGAACCATTCATGGTACTGTGAGTGGTGGTGTAGTTACAGTTATTGTTATTTCAGCTATTCATAACGTTCAGTGGTGCACTTTCTTAATGGGGGGTGGTTAGTTCCCTCATAGTTGCACATCCTGCCCACAACTGGCACTCATGTTGATGTGCAGGCAGGAAGTTCCTCCCTCTGAAGCAATCATGGAGTGAGAAAGAGCTTGAGGGTTTGATGCTATTTTAAGAAGAGTTTCTCAGGCAGCTAAATTCAGTGAAAGAGATCTTTTCTGAGGTTTTTATTTCAGCTAACCGTTTACCAGTTTAGGTGTTGGTAGGACCATATAAAAATGCAGTACTTTACCAACAAGACAAACACAACTCAAGAACAACCTGCTAAGAGATTAACATAGATTTTCATCAGCATGAAAGCCAGCAGAGTATACAGGAGGTACATTTTGTTGAACAGGAAACAGTTTGAGCTTCCATTATCAATGGATGAGAGCGTAAAAGGAAAAAAAAAAATTAAAAATTGCTCATTACAGTAGCAAACTTGCTAATCCAGAGAGGCAGAATCTGCCCCACAGTAGAAAAGTGAAAATACAATGACTAATCACACCCTGAAGCAAAGCAGCATCTTTTGCCTTCCTGAAAAAGGTGTAATGTTGCTGATAATAGCAAGTTTTCTTCCCCGGCCCTGTTGTCCCATATGTGGTAATTCAGATTGGTTTGCTAGGAGATGGTCTTACTAGTGCACCACGTTGGTAGCAGAGAGGATGTAAAAAAAACAAAACCAAGAGAACCTTAGTTTCTCTAAGAAGCTCTAGAAGGGAATTCCATGCAAGCAAAGATCAAGACCAAATGAGAACAGACTATGAAGAATATGAAAAAAGGGGTTGAGAAGCAACCCACGCGGGGAAAGGTGAGGTATTTGGAGCTACAGAGACACGTGTCTACAATATTTCAGGAGAAAATGCACATAACAGGTAACACCAGCTCTTAATAGTTGAAAAGTGTAATTCAGAAAAAGGTTAACATCATTTTATTCAGGTAACAGGGGTTAAGGGAGAAGAGAAAAGAACAAAACACATTCTGGAGATGGGAGTTTCGCATGTCTGTGAACACCCATCTTCACATGTTTATAATGCTTGTTGAATGCTCACACATGTTTGTGTGCATGGGTGAAAGATGCAGTGTCTTAACACCAACCCTTCTGTGATTTCAGATGAAGATGTTTTGCTATTAAAGCAGTTTGGTCACAGAGGGCTCCAACAGAAAACTGTACCAGGACAACATCACGGCAAGACACCTGCAGGCCGGAGTTCTGCTTGACATGGCCATGTTCTACTAGACCTGCCATGACGGCATTTTTTCCCAGTGTTCCCAACTGGATTCAAGATGCAAAGCAGGAGGAGGAAGAGACAGGCTGGAAATTAGTCCCCAGACCAAGAGGTGAAGAGACTGAAAGTCAGGGAAAATGCCAATGTGAAATATCGGAGACCTCCTTCACTAATGTGGACAAGCTGAGAACTCACACACTTTCTCATACTGAGCAGAGACCATACAACTGCCCTCAGCTGCACTGTGGCAAAGCCTTTGCTTCTAAGTACAAGCTATATAGGTAGGTAACTGCTGAGTGCCTCTGCCGAACAGCGCTCCCCTGCCGAACGAGGGGGGAAAACCCCTCCATCGTGCTTTTTTTGCTCGAATTTCTGAGAAGGTGGAGGAGGGGAAATGCCCTTGTTGCCTTGCAAAGCAGTTGAGTCCCAGACATTACCACACTTGACATCTTTTTAAGCACCTTCTAGAGAACCTCAGATAATACTTACCC